ATAATGGTTTATGGCTCAGAAAATTCTTAAAAAATACGGTTTTAAAAAACTTGTTAGTCCCTTAAATATACTATAAAATTGCACACATAATTGCCTTTGAAAGAATTCATGTGAAATTCAACATTTATGGCTATCAATAAATTATTTAAAAAAAAAAACTTGTATTCAGGGATCTGGAAGTCCTAAGAATATACTTATAAACATATTCGCCTCCGTTCCTCGGTATTTCCGCACATCATATTTTTTGAAAATTTCCTAAGATGATTCTTTTATGTTAATTTTTAATATTTATTGATTTCTATATTTTCCCTGAGGTTTTTATTATTCCTTATTTTTTCCCCCCATATACATATATTTATATTTTCTTTCAATAATATATGGCAAAGACAACAGCTACGTTCAATAAAAGTATTTATATTAATTTAATAGATGTATACAAACAACAACTCATTAACACTTTTATCTTTTAATATAATAATAAAATATTTATCTTATAAAAATTATAAAAACAACAACATTTTACAAAATATAAATTTTAAATTCCCAAAAAAAAAACACCTTTATTACCCCAAAAACATCAAACAAAATTTATAGATTACAACAATTTATAATGCAAATACCCAACAATTTTGCATTACCAAACAAAGAAACAACCTAAAAATACAAATATATTCAATTATAACAGATATGCAAAATTATCATCTCCCTCTCGATATACCAACATTCAAAATTTCTTTAGCTTCAGTGTTTCATTCTAAAAATTGAAAATGATGATGATTTTGTTTTTAATTTTTTGCTTTGCAATCAACCATTAATTGCTGCCATGCACTCCGCCCCATTGCAAAGGGGGCTGGCGGCAACAACACATTGCAATTTTTTATTTCTTCTTTATTTTTATTTTATTTTTTTCTCAAAAAATTGCATACAATGAAACAAACGTAACCACAAAAAAAGAACAACAATAAAAGAGGTCAATAAGGCACCTCAAGCGAAAGAAAGAAGAAAATGATTTTATTTTTTTATAGCAGCTATACATATTCCCTCGCTCCCCAACAACAACAACGCTGCAAAAAAATTTGCAAACAAATAATAAATTTTGCCGGTTTTCTGTCGTCTTTCGTAACAACAGCAACTGCAACAAGGAAAAAAATAAATGCATATCGCCAAACCACACCACACAATAAACGAACGGTAGGCAACAACAACAGCGACAACATCAATAAAATGCAAATTGTTGTCTTCGTTTTTTCGCTTGTTGCTTTTCTATTGTATTTGTGAAAAAAAAAACACATTCGTCAATGGAATTTTTATCTCATGACTCGACTCCTCTATCCCCAATACGTAAGCAACATTTGCCATCCATATGGCATATGAACCGACAACACGCTCTTACGATGTTGTAACCACATGGCAGAGAGTAGTTTTTTTATTTCAAAATGAGAGAGAGAGGTTAAAAAATATCAGGTTTTTTATCGTCGTCAAAAATGCAATTATTTTATTATTTTATTTTAAGAGTGATTGCAATTATAATCAAATATAAGATCAGCAAAGAGAACGAAAGATCTCTTTTTTTCAAAATTGAATTGCAAAATTTTTGCAAAGATGCTCCTTACTTCATGCATTTCAAAGAGAGCATATTTACATCCATAAATGTAATCCCTTCTATTTTACAATGTAAAATTCACATTACGTTAGAATAGTAAGTTTTCGTAAGAGTTTCCCACAATTCTCTGTACCCACTCATTGCACTTTACAAAAGATCAATTGCACAGCTCTTTAATTTCTTTATTTCAATAGGAATCTCTTCATTGCTTTGCTTTTACTGAGAGAATTTCAATCATTACATTATTATTAAGCTCTAATTAGGCAAATTTAATATTATGTAATGCCCATATATAAATGAAGTAGATTTTTTGTTCACATTTTTCAAATGAGAGTGTGAATAATTTCTAAGTAATTTCCGCATTATTTTTTATAATTATTTTTTAATTATCACAATAAATGTATAATAGAAAGCGGAGATCTTCTATAGGCAAATTAACTTTCAGAGGATTATTTAACCGTATTCTACGTCTACGCATATTTTATGGACCTCTCACTACCATTAAACAGACCTAAAATCTTTCAAATACAAACTGTAATTTTATGAATATTTATAGATGTAGTATGATGAAGATTCTGCCTCAGGTAGTAGACTACAGGCCGTCTATAAAAAGGAGATCTTCTTACGGTTGTATACATCTAGAAGAGACCATCTTCGAATTGTCAATAGAAATTAAAATTGTTATAGATAAGTGTTCAATAGATATCTTCTGTCTATAAATATATGAGATTTAAAAGATATTCCGTAGTTTAATTTGAAAAAAGCCTTGAAGAAATAGTTTCTTAAAAACCATTGAAAATATATTTCTTAAGAAAAATTGCCTCAAAATTTATTGTCAATAAAATTTTCTTGAGGATAAGGAATTCCTCAATATGTACAATTCGTCTAAAAATTTTCAAAATTCTGCAAAAGATTTTTTTCCACAAATTATATATATAATTTCCAAAAATCAGGTCTATACAACCTCTTAAACAGTCCTTTAAATAATATTTTTCAAAAATACTACGACTTTGATGTTTAAAAAAATATGTTTTCGACGAACCTTTTAAAAATATTTTGCGAAAAGTCTACGACTTCGATAGGCTTTTAAAAAATGTATTTCCAAATTCTTCATTTGAAAAAAAAAATATTTTTATTTAAACTACGCATTTGAATCGCCCTTACGAAAGTATATATTAACAAACGAATTTAAAAAAAAACGCTTTTGATTTCTTTTAGAAAAAAAAATTTATCTACACCTTTGAAACATCATTGAACAATTTTTTTTTTTTTACTAAGCCTCTGAAACATTCTTTAAAATATAAGTATTTGATATTTTTTTAATTAATATGCTGTCGAAAAAGTCATAAAAAATCACGCTTGACTCCATATACAGTCTTGGGAAAAATAATTTATAACAATTCTTATTTTTAGATTCACGCTTAAATATTTTAATCCTTTCTAAAACTCTGATGAATCTTAAAATATCCATCAAAATCTTTACATATGCCTTAGATTTTTAAAACCTCCATCATAGCAAATATATCCCTTGAAAATCGATCCCTTTTGCTACCTGCATAAACGCTTTTTTCACATTTATGGAGGTATTTCTATCTTTTAAATATCCTCTATTTCACCTATCCCTCAATATTTAGAGAATTTAATTTTTAGATCAATTTCTGGTGACTCTTCATGCATAGACATCCTCTAAAATGCGGGATTTTAATTTATTTTTCACTAATTTTATCATTTAATTTATTATTACATTTTATTTCTGAAATGTAACATTTCCAACCCTGCCATATAAGCAGCCATTGCTTTTGAAACTGTTTGTTGATTTTACTATGAAACTCTCGGTTCGTTTATCTGTTTCACTCACTGAATGAAAGTCTCCATTCTAGTAAAACAAAATATTACAACAATTACACAAAATGCATTTTTGCCTCTTGGGATCTCTAACAGTATTCACACTCTCCCTCTCTCTTTCTTACACACTCCCTCACATTGCAATTACTCTGTGTAGTTGTAATTGTTGTTGCATTCAATTGGGAAGGCAGGCACTCTTCTGATTGCAGTTTTCTACATCCAAAGAAGAGACCGTTCTCCCTCAATGTAATTGTCTTCTGCCTACTAATGAGGGATATTCATTGCACTACTCTCCTAAACTCTTCTTCGTTACATTACAAAACACGACCGTTCATTTGTGTGTGTGGTTACTTTGTTTGTTGTTTTCTTTCTTTCTTTCAAATGCATTTTTTTGTTCATATATGTGTTTGTGTGGTCAGTCGTTCGTACTCCCACACAAATTGCTTGCAGAATTTGGTTGTAAACAATTTTGTTGTTGTAAAAGAGGAATGTGAAACAAAATAAAATAGAAACAATTATTACATCTCTCAACGCGATATAATAAAACAATATCACGTGCTTTGTTTGATGATCGTGTAAAAAAAGTCGCGCAAAAACGAAAGCAGTATAGAATTGTTTAATTCTATTTTGTATATAAAATAAAATATTATTATTTTAAATATAAGAAAATAATACAAGTGAAAAAATTGCGTCTCTATAATCGTGTGCGGATTTAATTTGCATTTTTTAGTAATTTGGAGAATAAGCATGAAATTTACACTTTACAACAATACGAAGAATCACAAAAACTACAAAACGTCGAAGACATCAAAGGAAATCATAACAACAACAATACTGGCTGTAACAATAACAACAATGAGATTTTAAATAATAATCTAAAAGATTTGAAAGAAATTAAATCAGCTCCTTCGCAACAACAACAAAAAGGAGAAAAACTTGAAGACCTCAAGGAGCATAAAATTGAAATACCACTCAATAATAACAACAACAATAAACAAATTGATAATAAGCCACCAGAAATAATAACTGATAATCTTATAAATTCCATAAAAATCAAACGTGAACAAACACCACCTGTTGTAACTCCCACTACAACACCAAATACCATTGCTTCTAATAACAACAACAATATCATCAACACTATTGAACCACAAAAACCCATAATCTATAAAAATAATAATACCACTGAACCAATCGATAATAATAATCCATCTCTATTGGTTGTGCCAATACCCCAATTGCCCCAACCAGCTGTTGCAACCGCTTTACATTGCCCCACAACAACTGTTACGCGTACCATTTTCGAAAATAATAAAACCCAAAATCCGTTACCAACACCACCACAACAACCCCCGGCTTCCACAGTGACCCGGGCCATTTTCGAAAATAAACCATTTGTTAAATACGCCGATGACAAGGGTCCCAAGACCGTAACCTCATCGATTTTACGTCCGGCTACATCGGCCGTATTACAACACGGTGTTAATTTGCCAACCACAACTTCGACCCAGGCAATTTTACAACAATTGCCAACACCAACAGCAGGAGCGGCATCTAACAATAATTTGAATGTTAATCCTTTGGGTAGTGCACAATCGGTGACAGCATCTGTATTTGCACCCCGATCCCAACATATACCATTGACAACAACAACAGCATCTATTTTTGCTAAGCAGCATCCACAACAACAACAGGAGCAGCAACACCAGGCAGAGTCGGTCAATCAACAAGATATGAATAAAGGATATTTAACATTTGCCGAAGATGCCAGTGAATTAACAAGTAAGTACCGAATATTTTTTCTATTATTAGATTTTTTATGAAATGCCAAAGGTGTTAGGGTGATTATTTAGTGTGCTGATTGTTTGAAGTTATTCCTCAAAGCAATTAATCGGTAGTCATTGAAAAAATATCACAACTTTGATAGCCGCTGAAAAAACTTCGACAAATCTATGACTTCTATACTTTCTCAATAAAATTCTGAATACTAAAAACTCTGAAAACAATTTCAAAATCTATCTATGCCTCCCAAAGGCTTTGAAAAATAATTTAAAAAATTCCGGCATTCAAAGACCAAAAAAAAAAAAAATGTTTAAAAAACCTACGCCTCACAATGCTCTGACAATTTTCTTCAAAAAATTCTTATAGCCTTGAAAAAGGCCCTGAAAAAATATTAAAAAAAACACATCTCAAATCCCTTACAATTTTTTTCGACAACATACGCCAATGCTTAGCAAAGTCCATGTAGTCAATAAAATACTCCACTAGGTCTGAAATAGAGCCTACACCATTAAAATGCCATTGACTTCCCATCCCTGCTTTCAACAATGTATCTAAACATTCATTTTTATGTGGTACTTCGAGATGTGAATGTATTTAGTTGTTTTTATACGATTCCAAAATATTGAGACCCTGGAGAAAAAAGTAAAAAATACACAATTACAATTAGTCTGCAGTTGCTAATCTCCATCTCTGCTTGCAACAATGTTTCTATGCATTTCTATGTACTTGGTCCTTCGAGATAAATTCTATATTCTCCACAGAGGTTCTTATTGTTAAATGGTTTCGTTTTCTGTTTTCCATCCTACTCTAACATATTTAGTCTTGAAGAAAGAAGTCGAAAATATATAATTAATTTTTATCAGTCTTGATTATCCATACCCGCATGCAACATTGTTTATAAACATTAATTTATATTTGGTCCTTCGGGGCAATCTGTATATACTTAGTATAGTGGGCCTTTATAGCTTGTCATATGTTCTTGTTTTTTTTTTCAATCCGAATCTTGGAAAAAATGCGAACATATGCAATACAAATTTTCAGAGTTTGGATTTTCCATCTCTGCTAGCAACAATGTTTATAAGCATTCATGTTTACTTGGACACAATTATTCTATATGAAAAAATCACAATTACAATTTGTCTGCAGTTACTATTCTCTATCTCTGCTTGCAACAATGTTTCTATGCATTTGTATGTACTTGGTCCTTCAAGACAAGTTATATATTCAGCTTTGAAGTCCTTCATAAATCTATTGTTATATGGTTTCATTTTATTTTTTGCAATCCTACTCTAAAATATTTAGTCTTGAAGAAAGAAGTCGAAAACATGTAAATATTTTTTTTTTCAGTCTTGACTATCCATCTCCGCTTGCAACATTGTTTATAAACATTAATTTATATTTGGTCCTTCGAGGCAATATGTGAATATATTTAGTACAGTGGGCCTTTATAGCTTCATTATTAAATTCGTATATGTCCTTATTTTCAATCCCAATTCAAAATATGGAATCGAGAGAAAAATAGGCGAAAATATGACATCCCAATTATTGGAGTCTTTATTTTCCATCTCTGCTTGCAACAATGTGTATATACATTTAGTTGTAGTTTGGTCCTTCGACACAACTATTGTATATGAAAAAAAATCTATTGTTTCAATGAACAATTTTTTGTATGGAAAAATAGTTATTGGTCCTTCGATGTCCAATTGTAACTATTGGAGACTCACAATTTCCCTTAAATGATTAGTTTGTAACATGAAGTTCCCTTGTTTTTAGTTTGAATTAAATATTGGAGTCTTAATTTCCCATCTCTGCTTGCAACAATGCGTATATGCATTCAGTTGTTTTTGGTCCTTCGACACAATCATTCTATATGAAAAAAAATCCTTCTGCTGTTTCAATGATGAAAAAAATTGGTCCTTCGAGAGAGCATATTCGATTCTCAACTGTAACTATGCTAGCCCCAAAATTACCCCTAAATGATTAGTTTGTAACATGAAGCTTCCTCCTTTTTTGTTTTTAAAATTACTGGTTCGATACACTGTCAATTAAGCATGTCAGACTGCTTGTTGTTTAATGAACGTTCAATTTGTAACATTTAAACTTGGACTCGGCACGAATGTTATCAATATGTAATGCTTCACTTATTTCGGGATCTCATATCAGCGATTGAAACTAGCAGGGCATGCACAAAACCACACATATTGGATGAACTACACAGATGGTCATTGCAAATTTTCAATTTGCTAAAAAAAGTTCTTCAATTCTTACAGTTTTTTTGGGCCATATAATTTCTTAAAAATTAAACAAACATATAAATTCCATGAATATTTTCTGTCCTGTCCTCAAAAAAATATACGTTTTCAAATAGTCTGCGAACTGGCTCGAACCACTATATGACATTGTAAATATTATGATAACCCACTTGACAATGTCAATAAAAATGCATTTACGATAATAAAAGCATTTAATGGAATCGATCCATATACAAGTTCGTCATGTTTTTTGCGAGGAAATCGAATATCAATCCCCTGCAAATTCCACAACATTATCAATATAACAAATCAAATAATAAACACACAGAAGAGAGGGTAAACAGCCGATAAAAATATAATAATGGAACTAACCTAGCGTTCTTTTTTTTGTGTTTCCGAAACGAACGATTTAGATAAACTATAAAAGACTATCATTGAGATTATAAAACACCTCAAATAAAGATAGGAGAAACATGCAAAAATAAAATGATCATTCCCTATCAGAATATATAAAAATCGAATGTCGATGAATATATGTTTTTGGAAATTAGACGTCTGAGAGAAGGACAAAATGTTGAAGTAGATAAAAAATAATAAAAATGTTTTGAAAATGAGAAATATGAATTTAGAATTAAAAATGTAAGAAATTAGGAAATACACTGTTGATGCAACATTTCAAAATGTTTCAGCAACATAAATTAATGTTTCAGCAACATAAAAAATGTTTCGGCAACATAAGCCATAGTTTTGTCAGCATTACGACAAGTTGATAGAAGTAAGTTATGAAGATATGTTTGAGATAATAGTGAGGAAAATAATATAAAACGCTTTGGTACTAAGAAATATGAACATAGGCATAAAGAATTTAGGAATATGAAACATTTCTTAATGTTGATGCAACACTGTGAAATGTTTCGGCAACACAAATAAATGTGTCAGGAACATAAGCTATTTTTAGGAACTCTGTTATAAAATAGCTTATTTTCATTTATTTTCTTTTTATTAAATCTTATCGCTTATTCTAAAATGGGTTTAAATACACTTTGTTTAATTTTATTTTCTATTACTTCATCAAATATATATTTTCTATTTTTCTTCACTTTTGCGGTTTATTGTCTGTAATATAAGTAGTTCACTCAAGAACATTATTAGTCCGAATGTGTTCAACTAAAAACCGCAATTATAAAATTACCTTTGTTTTTATTGTATTGCGGAAAATTTGTCTAGAGGCTAAGTCATAGCTAGCTTTGTCATTTTACATTTTCCAGATATTAACTGATATAATATATACATATATATAATTTTTAGTTCATTCTATCTATCTTTATCTTGGATGGAAAATACGTAGTCGTCGAACTCACACCACACTACTGCGAGCTTTGTCACTTGAGAATCAAGTAGACAATTTTGTGTATATTCTTCGTTAAGTGCGGTGCAATTGTTTAAATAGATTAAAACACTAATGTACTGCTGCGACTTGTGTTGTACTTAAGACTTGTGTAAATATATTTAGTTTTTTTTTAGAATTTTATTAGAGTGCAGATGCATATTTGTTTGTAGAACGTAATAAGAAAAATATCATATATGTGACTTTAATTCTGAAAATCAGGAAATGTAAACAATACTGAGGTTATAATGTTGCAGAAAAGAATAAAGTCTAAATATTCAATATAAAAATCCATAGGTCATATTTCAGAATTTCCATCCCAGCTTGCAACATTGTCTCTAAAAATGCTTTTGTATTTTGTCCTTTAATATTTTTGTATAGTTCTTATGCTCCATCTCTGCTTGCAACAATGTCTCTATACATTTCAGTGTATTTGGTCCTTCGAGACAAGTCTTATATCCCTTATTAGCATTTGTATTAAATCGTGTTATTTTATTGTATTCAATTCTATTTAAAAATATGTAGTCTTTGAGAAAATATTGAGTCAGTTTTTCCAGTTTTCATTTTCCATACCCCAATGCAACAATGTTTATATACATTCATTGTTATTTGGTCCTTCGAGATAACCAGTATATTTTTTGTATAGTGGGGTTTCATAGTTTTATTTTTAGCGTTTATATTCTTTATATATTTTTATGTTTTCAATACAAGTTTCAGTTTTTATTCTCCATTTATTCTTGCAACAATATCTCTATACATTTGTTTGAGGTTAGTTCTTCGATACACGTTATATAGTCTTAATAGCGTACCTTCATAGCTTTATTAGATCGTTGTATTTTATCGTGTCTTTCTAATTTAAAATAATGAGTCTTAGATAAAAATCTAGAAAATATGCAATTGAATTTTTCCAGTTTATTTATATTAATTGTTATTTGGTCCAATCTATTATGTCCATTAGGCCAGTAAATAATTCTAATTCCTTAAAATATTAAATTAATCTAATTCTGAATGTCCATCCAAGTTTTTAACATTGTTTCTAAATATTTCTTTACATTTTGTCCTTCAATATTTTCTTTACAGGTTTTTATTCTCCATCTCTGCTTGCAACAATGTATCTACACATTTCTGTGTATTTGGTCCTTCGATATAGTTTTTGTAGTGGGATTTCACTGCTTTATTTTTAAATCGTTGTATTTTATTGTATTCAATTCTAATCCTAAATATATAGTCTTCGAGAAAAAATCTAAAGATGAGCATGTTCATGTATTGATTTCCCATCGCAGCTTATATACATTTATTTTTATTTGGTCCTTCCAGACAAACTGTATTTCCAGTATAGTGGGTCTTTATAGTTTTATTTT